GCTCGCTGCTCGACTACAACGGCGTCTACTTGGCCGAGGGCCCGTGGCCCGGCAAGGCGTACTTCGACGCGATGCGTCGGGCCCGTCAACGTGACGCGAGCCTGTACCTTGATTATGGTTACACACGCCCGAACGTGATGAGCCGCGGCCCGCACGCTCAGCAGACCGATTCGGCGAGCGGCGTGTACGGCGACGGCGTGATCATCGACAGCGTGCCGTACGAGCAGATGGCCCCCGAGATGGCGTCCCCGCAAGACGGAGAGCCTCTCGAACCGGTCCCTGCCGAGCCGATGGACTCGATGGGGGCGGTGATGGAGACATCGGCGCCCCAGGCGGGCGGCTCGTTGTTCTCGGCTCCAGGCGGTCAGGCGGTCGTCGCCGGCATGGCGACGGGATACGAAATCAATCCGACGACTGAAAACCACCGACCCCAACCGATCGCCACGCCACGCAGCAACGTCCAGATGGCTTCGGCCCAGGCCGAAGGCCGGTCCGAAGGAACATCGTCGGGCGTTGTCCATGCGTACGGCGCCGTGACCGAGAAGAATGAACGTCAAGCGCATTACACGACTCATCGACCTCCTGCAGAGGCTCCAGTCGGGGCAGGGGGGGGACGCTGACGGCCTCGCCGAGGCGTGCGGCGTCAGCAGACGCACGGTGTTCCGCGATATCGAGTCGCTCCGCGAAGCGGGGGTCCCGATCGAGTACGACGCCGACGCGCAGCGCTACCGGATCGACGCAGCTCACTTTTTGCCGCCGACCAACTTGACGCTCGAAGAGGCGTTGTCGGTCGTCTTGCTGGCGGGGCGCGTGGGGGAGCTGGAGCGCGATACGCTGTTCGCCGCCGCCATCGGCGCGGCCCAGAAAATCGAGGCGAGCTTGCCGTCCTCGATGCGGGAGAGACTCAGTGAGGTCGCCGAAGCGATCGACCTCCGCCCGCCGCCGGTAAACCCGCTGGCGGACAAAGGGGATGTCTACCGCGCCCTGTTGCGGGCGAGTGTGGACCAGCAAGCCGTCCGTATACGGTACGACTGTCGGACCGAGTTCCGTGAGATCGAGACCGACCTCGACCCGTATCACTTGCTGTTCCAAGAACGCAGCTGGTATGTGATCGGTCGCTCGTCACGTCACGACGAGGTCCGGACGTTCAACATCGGCCGTGTCAAAGCCGTCGAGC